CCTTCTCTGTTCATCCTCAATGTCTCGTCGTCTTCGAGTTCCTTCTCGGATGTCATGCCATTGTTCGACCTTCTCTTCCAAGTGTCGATTGCAGGTTTTTGATGGACAGAACGCCAACTGTCCTCCCATCCGGCATGCTCGTGGTCGGGTGTCGTTGTTTGCCATGACTACGTAGCGTAGCAGTCCCAACTGGTCGTTTTCGCGGTGCACAATGGACCTTCCTTCCCCTTCTACGGCGCTGCGTGGCGACCGGATCGCACCTTCCCTTCCTTCCCCGCCGCGCACCGGGAAGAAGTCCGCCTGAAGCTTTTCTGCCAGGTGCCATAGGCAAGGGTGGTGCACACAGTTGAACCAAGCAATCTGATTGTGGTCCATGTGCGCTGGGTCCACCTCGTTGGCGTCTCCTTCCTGGAGATGGAATGACTCTTCTCCGATGATTCGAATGTCGGCGTCTTCCCACTGAACTCCTTTCACGCGGCGAGCTTCTCGGGGTCCATCGATATGGTCTCTCCATCCGTGTTGCCAGTCGATCTGGTCGAATGGGGTTTCTTCCGGAATCCCCGGGTAGCCCTCCGGATCTTCGGGGTCGGATTCGTAGTACGCTTGATGACCACCCGACGATCGAGAGGCTGCTGCGATGGTCCTTGGTTCGACAGGATACCATCCAGAGTCCTCCTTACTGCTTTGATGCACTCGGCAGTCGTCGTCGAAACAGGCCGTCCAGGAGAGTTTGTCGTGTTCTTCCTTCCTGGAGACTCCGTTGACCTGTCTTCCTTCGGGGACCTCCTTCCATCCCTCCCGGGCCTTGCCCTTGCAATCCCGGAAGGCGTGTCCCTCCTTACCACAGCGGTAGCACTTCATTGGCTTGCGCTGGGTCTGTCGGCTACCTCCTCGTCCGGCCGCGTCGATATCCATCGGTCCGGGGTGGGTACCGGTCGCCGTGGACGGGTTCCATCGTCGAGCCGAAATGTTGGGCTTATTGCGAGGAGTGGGATACGTCCTGACTCCTTGTCGTTCTCGCTTGCGCTCGTATTGGCGATCGTCGATCTTGATGGCCATGGCGATGTAGTCGTTCAACCCGTCCGGGCGATCGAGCTTCGACAGCTCGTCCTTCACGTCGTCCTTCAATCCGGTGTAGAAGGCGTGCATCAGGGCTTCTTCTCCCCACTCGACCTTGACTGAGTCCTGTCTGAACTCGGAAGCGTACACGCTTGCTGCTTTGGTCTGTCGGAGTCGGGAAAGTCTTTCTTCCGCCCTGCGAGCCTCATCTTGTTCTCCAAACACTCGGGTGATTGCTTCGCTGAATTTGTCCAGGGACGAGAAGATCTCGATAGTCTCGTCGTCTCTGTCGTTTGCCTTGTGCTTCACGTAGTCTTCCTTCACAGGGCCGAACCAACGCAAGGCTGGTCCCTGGAGGAACGAGGAGGCAAAGATCACCTTGTCTTCCTCGTTGTCGAATTGACCATTGTGATAGTGAATGTAGGCACGCACCTGAGTGAGGAACCCTTGGAGCTCTCCCTTCTGACCTTCGAAAGTCGGGGGTGAGTGGATCTTGGCCTTGACCTTGGGTTGGGCGTCCCCGCTGGACCCCTTGAGAGCTTTGTTAGCTGCCTGGAGTTCCATGTTGACCTGCTTGAGGGTCTCGATCTCAGTGGTCAGGCCGTCGTGCGAGGCTTTCGATTGGGCACGGAGGTCTGCCACCTGTTTGTTGAGGGTCGAGATGTAAGTGTTCAACTGCAAGGCAGTGGGGGTTGTTGCTGGAGTGTTGGAAGTGGACGACATGTTGGGTCTTTGCTCAGATACACTGGCCTGCACTCTGAAGAGTAATCAACGTGTTACGATCAGGAGAACCAAGGGGTCCTAGAGACGGTAGGGGTCAAAAGGTGAGTGCAAGGGGGTGTATGTAACCACGGAGCAAAGGGATAGTTCTCTCGATTGTGCAATGAATGCCTAAGAACTTATATTGATTACTGGTCTGGGACCTAATGTCGCCAGACCCTACTTGTTATATAGAAGTGAAGCATGCAAAGGGCTCTGTCTGCTCTGTCTGCTCTGTGCAGAGCACGCAGAGCACATAGAGCACCCTGCTCTGTCTGCTCTGCGCCTGCGCCACAGAGCACGCAGAGCACCCTGCTCTGTTGGCTCTGCGCCCACGCCACAGAGCACACAGAGCACCACATGATTGGCTCGTTCCAAGAGTCCGCTCCATCTTCCTCTCATTGGTTCCATCCTGCCCCACCCGGGCGACCAGTTGCGGGGTTGTGACAAAAAAGGGGAGAAGTTGAATTATCGATAGATTAATTATTCGTGTGAAGGAGAAGCAACGACTCGGATGTCACGGTCCGTGGCATGTCCAAAGGTGGGGCTGGCGGAAGCCCCACGACCAATCGCTTCACCCACCAATCAGCAGGGTCCCAGGGTCCCGGAGGGCCGGGACGTACGGGACACAGGGTCCCGGGGTCCCGAGGCTTCGGGACGTACGGGACAGGACCGAAGTCCCGGGGCTGCGGGACTTCGGGACCCCAATCTTCACTTCTATATAATGAGCAGGACCTGGCGACATTAGGTCCCAGGTCAGTAATCAATACAAGTTCTTAGGCACTCATTGCACAGTCGAGAGAACTACCCTTTTGTTCAGTGATTACATACACCCCCTTGCACTTACCCTTTTGACCCTTACCGTCTCTAGGACCCCTTGGTTCTCCTGATCGTAACATCGGACTCTTGATGAGCATGTCTTTGTTTTGCCTACCCCTGTCAAACTTATAATTGCGAGACGAGCCCCGAGGCTTTCGACGTCGTTGAGCTCTAAGCTCGAGAGGTAAAGGTTGTAAATTATTTCCCAGGGATGTCTTGATTACCCTCCTCTCCAAATTGTTTTCCCTATTCCGTTAATTCTTTCTTCTTTTTTTTGGGCAGGCCGAGTCCAATTAAAACCATCAATCTCTTAAAAGCTCCACCATACCTCCCCCCGCTACCAAGCTTTAAACGCTACTACGGATAATGCTTTTAAAATACCCCTAGTGTGGGAAGTCACTTATCTACACTATTATTATTTCTTTTTTTTCTTCTTCTCTTTTTTTTTTTTTTTGGAGTGTTTGTGTTACGATCCAGAGAACCAAGGGTCCTTAAGACGGTAAGGGTCAAGAAGGTAAGTGCAAGGGGGTGTAGATAATCACTGAACAAAGGGTGTTCTCCTAGACTGTGCAATGAGTGCCTAAGAACTTGTATTGATTACTGACCTGGGACCTAACGTCGCCAGGTCCTACTCGTTATATAGAAATGAAACATGCACAGTGCTCAGGGTGCTCAGTCGTTCCGAGGACTGAGCAGACTGAGCAAGGTGCATGACATGCCGAGTGCTCAGGTTGCTCAGTGTCTAAAGGCACTGAGCGGACTGAGCACCTCCTCATTGGTGCGTTCCTCGCCAATGGCCCACGCTGGCATGGACCTGGAGGCTCCACAGCTCCTCAGGCAGGACGTCCTTATCTTATCGGAGTCTGGCTCGTGACAGTTTGTCGTAGGTGTCACGAGATCGGTAGGTTGAAGGGACGAGCCGCAGTAGTAACCGTACTGTACTGATAAAATACTAAACTAGGGAAAGAAAAGAAGAAAAGAAAGAAATAAAGAAAGCTGTTCGTGCGCGCAAAGCCTTTTGTGTAAGCACACCCTCATGGTTATCTGACTGCGCATGGGCCGTTTGGTGGCCTGTGCGCAGCGAGTCAACGAGGGACATGCAGTGCGCACCTCACGAAAAGAACATATGCCCACGCCACGTGACAGTAGGTGTATATATCTCCATAAATTAAACTCGTGCCTCTTGCTAGTTCAAGAAATTACAACGGTGGGTCATCTGCGGAGCCTATATATAGCCCGGTACCTAACTTACCACGGCGGGTTATAGAGCGTTTAATCTTCCTTAAGCTCGGGGAGACCTGCGCAGCCAAGGAAGCGAGGATGCCCCTCAACATGCTCCTCCGGCAAAGCTGATTTGGGTAGGCACATGTAGATATGGATGTATGCCTTCCCGAGCAGGCGATTGCGACTGACTGTGCCCCTGACAAAAGTGACTGCACGCCCAGCCCATCCGGGTGCCAACACGGGCTAGAATCTAGATATTAACGTGAACCCCGCTGTCACGATCTGCGACAGGAAAGTGGGGCGCCCTGGCCAATCAGGAAACCACCAATCAGAAGGGACCCAGGGGACCCGGAGTCGGGTCCTGGGGGTCCAGGCGGAGGACCCGGGCGCGGGTCCACCGGGTCCAGTGCTGGACCCGGAGGAGTACCTGTCGGGTCCGTAGATTATGGTTTCTATATAACGAGTAGGGCCTGGCGACATTAGGTCCCAGGCCAGTAATCAATACAAGTTCTTAGGCACTCATTGCACAGTCTAAGAGAACACCTTTGTTCAGTGATTATCTACACCCCCTTGCACATACCTTCTTGACCCTTACCGTCTTAAGGACCCTTGGTTCTCTGGATCGTAACACCCGCCAACAATATGTGCAGCGCTGGGTGGGGGCAAGTGTTGGTGGTCAAGTAATGAGCATATAAGCAAGTATCATGAGCGGGGCTGAATGGTTATCGAGCGAGAAGATGCACCGCACAAGAGCTATTTTAGAATGTTAGTCTAGGCGATATTGAGCGCTGTAAAATCTACAACAGCGGGGAGTGTGCCAGTGCGGCCGAGTGTGTACGGACCCGACCCGATTGAGCTAAACACAGTCGCAATCGCCGGCATTTATTATTTCGTCCCTCTAAGCGGAGTGGAGAGCGAGGACGAGGCTAGGTTTGCAATAGAGGCCGCCGGCGGGGATGTGGGATGTAGGGCACTAGATACTCACGGTTGCAGACCAAGAATTGGAGATGGAATCATCTCGGTGAAGAGGAGGTGGGAAATGCTAGCGGTGCGCGCCGCGCATGAGTCGAGCGGAAGCCAGGTCAGCCAAACGGTAGGTGGTATATAATGAAGTTTTCCGCCGTAAATAAGTAATAGTTGGTGGTGTAGTATAGCGGTCAGTACATGCCGTGACAGTGAAATCACGACCTGACTCCGACAGCAGATGGGAAGTACCTTCACCCGATGGCAAGTTCCTTGGTTCAAGTCCAGGTACCACCAACAACGGGCCCGTTCTTTTTTTGCTTTTGTTTTGTTCTTTTTCTTTCAGCTCTCTTATTTTTTATCTTATTTTCTCTTTCCTTTTCGATCCTCCAGTCTCTGCAACTTCTGCGCCAGGTAATTAAACCCCACCGTGGAGATTGAGAATCGCTGTGGCGGAAGGACGGGGATGGATTGAGAACATATTCGGAAAGTGTGAGCCCCCCCCCCCCCCCGACGCTCCTTCCCTCGTCTAATTAAAACCCAATAATCCCATCCTTCTGGATCAACTCTCCGGCATCGCCATCCCTTCCCCCCTGCACCACACCCGCAACCATCCTCCCTCCCTCACTCGGTTCCCCAGCACCGTGCGCGAGAGCAACCTCCTTCAGCCCGCCGATATCCGTCGCCAGAAACCCGGGCTCGATGGCAAACACCTTGACGCCGTCCACGCGCAGCTTGGTCTTCCAGTCAACCATCAGCATGTTCAGCGCGCTCTTGCTGGCGCGGTACGAGGCCAGCTCGAGGCTAACCTGCTTCGGCCAGCCCGGCTCCGTGGCCACCGGGATCGGGTACCGCGCCTCGTCGGCGGCAAAGGTGAAGGAGCCGAGCGAGCTGGAGACGAAGATGAGACGGGGCGAGGCGCTGCGGAGGAGGAGCGGTGCGAGCGTGTAGGTTAGCACGTGCGTGCCGGCTACGTTGACGTTGTAGGCTTTGGTGAAGCTCTCGCGCAGGGTGATGGTGTGGCGGATGTGCCAGTCCGAGTCGGTTTGGATGCCTGCCAAGGGTGGGGTTGTGGTCAGTTAGTCGGTTTTTTTCAGCGGGTTGGGTATTGTGGGCATGACTGACCTGCATTGTTGACGAGCGTGTCAATGTGTCCGTGTTTGGCTTTGATAGTCTCAAGGGCGGCGGCAATGGACTCGTCGCTTTCGAGGTCGAGCTGGAGAAGCTCCACTGTGCCTTTTGCGTCGGGGAGCTCTTTCTGGAGTGTGGCTACAGCTTGGTTTCCTTTCTCAATGGAGCGGCTGCCGAGTAGGACGTGGTAGGAGGTAGGGGACTGGAGCAAGGCTTTGACTGTCTCGTAGCCGATGCCGGTGTTGGCTCCGGTGACTAGGACGATGTTCTTAGGAGTCAACATTGTTGGTGAGTTGAACACTGTGTCGTCTATAACCTGGATGAGTTCAAGTTGTTGCTGGATTCATTTTTCACGCCAAGGTCGCGTTTGCTTTATATGCACGGGGGATGATGGATTTAGGGATTGCCGGGGTTCTATGTCCGTTCGTACAGCAGAGACTTGTGAATCCTTGGTGGATCCAAGGCGTGATTGCTGACAGTCCTTGACCCATGAAGCTTCAACGACATGGCTCTTCTCCGTTTCGCAGCCTTGAAATTGGTGTCACTTCTTGCGCCGTCTAGTTCTACGCCCGGACTTACCGGTGCTTAAGTCCGGTATCCGAGCACAACAGCCAGCTCGCTGCAGTCCTATTTCAGTCCTATAGTCAGTCCTAGTGTTAGTCCTATTGTCACTCCTACCATTATTCTAGCTATAGACGTAAGGGAGTGCACTGCGTGCGGTCGTATGGTGCTGTACATGTAGGCACGCGTAAAAACATAAATCCCTGGGATGAGCATATCAAACCAATCATAAACTGCAGTGCTCGCCGATCACCCCTAGGCAGGACGGACATTCACTGTTGCATTCACAAATCAGCTTTACTAAAAAGCTAGCCGGAGAAACTTTTCGGAACTCATTTACTTACCTATTGGAGCTGTACGGAGTTTTTACTTGTCTTTCTCTTTCTGGGATGGTGTGTCAATAGTGGTTGACAAACTTTTGCGGTCCGGTGTGTGAGTGAACAAGGAGGTTCAACAGTGGTGACAAGGTCGACATCTCGTTTCCTTTGTTCTCGGCGGATTCTTCGCTGCGCATGTTTTGTCCGTGTATCGCATTGGGATTGCGCAGGCCAATTCACTCAAGTCATTCGTTCTCTCCCTAGGGGTGAGAGGCTATTGTTCTTGAACAATCCATCGTACCAACGTAAAAGGCGCTGGGGGGAAGACCACCAACAACACTTGTGTCGGTTTTCTTCCCCCCCGCTGTTTTTTGGGCGGTTTTCGGGTTTTAAGGTTTTTTGTTAATTGTTTCCTGGCTTTTATGCATCATCGCTGACGGCCTAAGCCATCATCTTCGTTCTCTCGGCAAGGGGTAGCCGAAAAGTTCTTCCTGAAGTATCTCTGCAAGCGTCAGCAAAGCGTCTCTCACGTGCTCCCCGCAGCCGGTGCTGGAGAGATCGCGGCCCTCGGGGATTGTCGTGGGGTACTTGGCCGCTTCTAAGTGGTCGACATCGCAGTGGCATTCGCCCTCCGGGTGGCCCTGCCTCTCGCATGCAGCGCAGAGCAATGGGAGGGGGAGAGCTAAGACCGGGCATCCACAGAGTCCGAATTCCATCTTCAGTCTGCAGATGGGGCATTTGCTGATAAGGTCATCTTCCTCCGAAACACTCACCATCCTGATATTGTCCCAGCAGCCCTCGCAAATCATGTGTCCACAAACCAGGACTACGCCGTTCTTGCGTTCAGCGTTGGGGTCCATTGCGGGAATGCGGACAATTTTCAGCTCACCGTCAAGGCAGACCGGGCAAGTTACGAACGGCGGCGGATCGTTGTTGGGAATCTTCTGGAGGAAGACCTTGACCTTGTGCCAGAGGCTTTCGTTTTGGCGCTCAACGTGGTTGCTGCTGTTGTTGTTGTTGTTGTTAGTAGTGTCAGCCATCTTGACGAGAGTTGTTGAAGTTCTTGATAAGATAGTTGTGAAGTTGTTGTAAACCTGCAATCTTCTGCTTTTGTAATTGTGGTTCTTGGAGGAAGTCACACTCTGATGTAGAAGATTGGGATTGGTTTGATGAGAAAAGCAAGTCCTGGAAAGTTGACTAGACTCGACGTTTTTATATTTCCGAGAGCGGTCGAAATACTCCCTAGAGATATTCATCAACACTGCTGAACATCTCACTGTTGGCAAATGAAACGATGTCCTGTTTTAAATGATAAGGCAGAGCTGACACGTTCGTTTCTTTCTCTGGTCGTTCGGCAACAATCCCATTGCCTTGCCGAATCGGGTGTTGGCGTAGACCATAATACGCGCCTCCCGCCTCTTGTCCATGTTCTCGTGCAACACTGGGTATCTGAGGTCAAGAATGTGAAGTAGTTAGTATCATGGTAGTGTCAAGAAGATTCACATGGGTACCTGGTACTCGGGGTTCCGCATGCATGACATCCAGAATCCGTGCCAAGTTGAGGTCTCACTCTGCGTACCGCGCCAGCCGCGGTACTCTACTCTAATAAACTATAACAAAAACTCAGCAGCGGCTAAAGCGCCGGCGTTTTCCGGATTTAACTCCGCCACAGAAATGTCCAGAACGTTTGTTGCGTACATGCATTCAACAGGATCAGCGAGAGAAATATCACCAAATACTAGTAACAATGCCACGGATTTCCAAGCTAACAATGCATCCAGCTACTCAACAATGAAACCCACCGCAACAATCTCTTTGTTCTGTTCCGCCGCGGTAGGCTGTCGTAAGTAGGAAATGTTCACAACAAGTTCCGAAGCTGGAGCGAGGACCGTGACGATGACAGCGATATGGGAAGCTCCACGATTCCTTGTTTTTCATTTCACATTCGTACTGTCAACACGGTACGGCTCTCGACTAAGTATTGCCAAACTACTTCAGGTTACCACGTTCCAGAACACTAGGTGAAAGTACATATGATGGTTGCTGCCTTTCTACCCGGCTACTGCCAGAGTGTGTGATAAACCTAAAAAGACTTGGTTTGGCGAAAGAAATTAAGGCCGATATCCAAATACAGTTTTGAGGTCCCCCAAAAGTACTCTAGTACAAGTATGTAGGTAGCCAGGGGTGACTGTTCCCGCTCGTATCAACCTAGGCGCGCATAGCTGTGGACTCTCAACCGACTCTCCTTAACCATGCTAGCCGCTCACAACAGACCCAAGACCATGGCCACACTCTGCAGGAACGAGAAGAGCGAGCCAGCAGGAACCATCCCAGCATAGAGGGCCTGCCATGACGCAGCTAAGGTTCCTATCGTCGCATCCAGTCGTGAGCTGCTGAGATTGCTCCGCGAGAAGGGTTAGGTACCAAGTAGGTAGCCACTCACCGGCAACCGGCCCCGCTGCGCCGAAGCCAATTACTTTTAGTACCCAAGCAAGCACGACGCCGAACATAGCGGTGTTTGGGATGGATTGAGATCTTTGGGTTGCAAGCTCAGGTATGTGGATGGGTTTGGATGGTGCGTGTATGCAGTGCAGGGCAGTGCTGCCGGTTGTGAGGTTGGATGCTTTCTTTGATGGTTTGAGATGCAAGGAGAGTTATGCAACGAGGGGAACAAGGGCCGAGCCCGTCGGTTTTATGCTTAGTGAGGCCTACTGGCTATCGGATCGGGGCATGCAGCCTCTGCTTGCTTGTTCCGCCATACCTCTGTTTGCTCTGCAGCTTGCCGTGGAGCACGGGTGTCCTACGGCTGTCAGTCCAAACGGCTGCCTCGACATGCATGCGCCCTTTTCTCTCTAGTGGCGAGAACAACGAGGGTGGTTGCCTGACGTATATCGATGGCCTCCAGCCACGTCACATCGCCTGGGGATTGTCATACGTAGTACAAACAATATCCAGTCTGTTGCATCTTCTTCTGTTTGTACGGTAGCTGTGCAGTTGTTTCTCTTTCTTCTCATTATGTTCGGCCTCCAGCCACTTCACTAATTAGCAAAGCCAACCCTCCACAACTTGAAACCCCCCCCCCCAGTCTAACGTCGTGCACTACTTCAACACCGAATTAGGGAGATATAGCGGCATGGTATCCTCCCACAGACTATCCGAAATCACCCTCTTCCCCGACCCATCAGCATTCATGATCATCAACTGCCCATACGGCTGGAAGGTATTATCGTAAGTGGCCGCCTCAGCCTGGTACCCCCACATGCCCGAGCTCCACCCGATGCGGCCGTC